GTTTTGATATTTTTCACTTCTAGTTTAATGTCCTAAACTAAGGCCACCAGATGTCCCGCTTTTGGCGGGACAGTTCTGATTTTTGGAAAGAATGCATGACAAGCTAGGGAACGGTCTATTTAGTCCATATAGACCAAAGTTTTAATCAAGAACCCCCACCCCCACCCCCATCCCCTCCCCCCTCCCGTCAATGGTGTCCCGCTTTAAATCTGGTCACCTTATATTAACACATACCCCGAATCAACCACGCCTGCTGCTGTGGAGGGGATTCCGCCTCATGACGCCCCTGTAGGACAGAGACATCTGCCCCACAGAGTGTCCAAGGCTGTAACTATTTACTGAAACAGACTCGCACATCTCCCACCCTCCCATGGTGTGACTAGTGGGCTCAAACCACCAACCTTTCAGTGAGCAGCCACGTACTTAACCCCTGCACCACCAGAACACCCTCCCAAAACCACAATAGACTTAACTATTTGTTGGAGAAAACCTCGGCATGAAGAATGGTTGAGTGGGCTGTATTTGTCCTTGTTCTGGGTGATGTCAGAGGTCAGAACTAAGTCAGTGGAAGGTAGCCACGCAAGTAGGCTGCTGTCCCCTCGGCATGAGGAGAGGCAGTCTGTTCATCATTCCATCGGAGGCAGCAAGAGTGATGCTTTGGGGGCTCCTGGTAACCTGAGGTTGGTCCTACAGATGCTGGTGACCACCTGGTAGCTGTACCATGTAGTATTCCGCTGCCTTACAGAGCAGTTACATCATGTCGTCTTAAAGCCCTGTCGGCTCTGGGAGTCTGTGCTATTGGAATTTTCAACACATAGGCTTCCTGTCAGATTATTTAAGTCTCTGAAAGTGTACTGTGGATATGGGTATGTGGTACTCTTGATGCATAATTGGAGCTGTTAGTGAAGGAGCTGTTAGTGGTGGCAAGGTGGCTATGCATTGGGCTGCTCACTGCAAGGTCAGCAGTTCAAAACCAGCAGCTTAAGAGAAAGATGAGGCTTTCTGCTCCCATAAAGATTCACAGTCTCTCAAACCTGAAAGGGTGGTTCTGTGCCCTATCAGGTTCCTATGGGCTCAAATTGACTTGATTGTGAAGGCTAAATTGAAATTATTTAATAATTTATGCATTTTAAAATTGTGTATTAGAAAAGTTTTAACTAGTACATCTCATTTTGTTAGACAAGGCTATATTTAAAAAGCAAGTAAATTTAAAGTTTATTAATGAAAATATTGTGTAAATCAGTACAGATATGTCAGACATCAGGAAATTACTATGTGTATTCTGTGTCTTATATCATTCTTTTACATTCACAACTGAGACATACGGGAACCATTTTATTTCTTTACTGAAACTCACTGCCCTCGAGCCAAGTCTGTTCTGACTCATAGAGACCTTGTACGGGGTGTTCAAGACTATATTTATGGGAGTAGGTGGCCTCATCTTTCGCCCATGGAGCAGCTCGTGGATTTGAACTGCTGAGCATGGATTATCAGTCCAGCACTTAACCAACGGAGCCACCAGATCTCCTTATTTTCTTTATCAATATTCCAGTTTTCTATTCTGCCTATAATAGGACTTATGCAATCATCTTTGGTATATAAAACAATCTACCGACAGACAAGAATCAGATGATTTCTTCTTCATTAGAAGAAAAACTGCAATGCAATAATGTCCATAAAGGAAATTTTAAAAGAGGAAATTTTCATTTAAGCGATAGGGGAAGAAGCAAAAAGGTCAAAAGGTCTTCCATAATCCTACCACCCTGTTTATCAGTTATGTTCCTTTCTCCTTGATTGCTTTCAGTCTTAGAAACCATTGTGTGTATTGTTCTCAGATGTATTTTGCATACTAAATGCTTTTCTGCAAGCTGCCTTTTAACTGCAAATTTTGATCTCAGGGCTGTGAGTCACTTGTCATCCCTCACACTGACCATAATCTTTTCCTGCCCTTCCCTCTGGCTCTGATGCTGTCTTTGTAAGTAGCATGGCATTTACACTGTCATGTAAATCAGGAGCTGGAGTTCCCGCTGCTGCTCCAAATCCCCCCTTAAGGAAACTTGAGGCACCCTCATTTTCCTGGTTTGTACTTTCCCCTGGTGTTTTAGAATTTAAAGTTTTCACATGCACCCTACCGTGGCCTGTTTCTGCCTTGATTTCCACAGGGAGCCTTGCACCTATACAGTTGTCTCTCTCATTCACGAATGTTCGTTCTCCCTCCATTTAGAAATATTTCCCAAGTCCTGGAGGATTCCATGTCCCTTGAATAGAGATGACTGCGGACCTTTGGTTTATTTAAATGAATACCCTAGAGTAGGTGCCTACTGGGGGGACACAGTGGAACTCCCCCACAGGGTTTCTAAAGCTGTAGTCTGCCCAGCAGCAGATTGCCACTCTTTCTCCTGTCAAATGGCTAACAGGTGTGAACTATCGAGATTTCAAGTGCTTAACCACCGAGCTGAAGTGTATCCCACCTGAAGCTGGGGATAATGTCTAGAATAAATCTGACTCAGCAAGCACAGGTGGCTGAAGACAGACAATAGTGGGACGGCACCAAGGACATCCTACATAGAGGACAGAGTTTAAAGTCATTAAAAGTCTGGAAAGAAAGCAAATACCAAAATGGATGCAGAAGAGCTTCTGAGAGTTGCTTCTAAACATGGAGTAGCTGAAACAAATAAGAGAAATGATCAAGTGAAACAGCTGAAGAGAAAATTTCCCAGGGTGGCTCTGGAAGACAAAGAAAGTATTGTAATGAAATGTGCAAAGTCACAGGGTTAGAATATCAAAGGGGAAGAGCATTTCACCAGCTGAAAGAGATGGAAAAGCAAAATGAAGCCTCAAGTGGAAATACTGAAGGATTCTATGGACAAAATGCTGAATGATGCAGGAAGTACCAAAAGAGTATTGAAGGAATATTCATAAACAGGGTCACTGCACCAAAAAGAATTTGTTGATATTCATACGTTTCAGAAGGTAGTACACAATCAAGAACTGATGGTCTTGAAAGAAGAAGTCAAAGCAGCACTGAAGTCACTGGTGAAAAACAACAAGGCTTCTGGAATTGACAAAATATCAATTGACATCAATAAGTGGATCCATCACTGGAGCACTGACAGTTCTGTGTCAAGGAGTTTGGAAGGCAGCTACATGGCCCACTGACTGGAAGGGATCTGTATCTATGGCCATTCTAAGAAAAGATGATCCAACAGAATGCAGAAATTACCCAACAATACCAATATCACATGCAAATAAACTTTTGTTGAAGATAATTCAAAAATATTTGTAGCACTACGTCAGTAAGGAGCAAGTGGCATAGTGGACATCATTGCCACATCAGGTGGATCGTGGCTAAAAGCAGAGAATACCAGAAAAATGTTTGTGTTTTATTGACTATGTTAAGGCATCGGACCATGTGGATCATAATAACTTATGATTATCCCTGGGAAGAATAAGAATTCCAGAACACTTACTTGTCTTCATACAGAACCTGTATATGGACCCCAGAGGCAGTCATTGGCACAAGGAAATACTCCAAACCAAATCAAACTCACTGCCGTCAAGTCAATTCTGACCCAGAGCTACCCTACATGACCAGATCGAACTGCCCCCATGGGTTTCTGAGGCTGTAACTCTTCATGGGAGCAGAAAGCTTAGTTTTTCTCCCACTGAGAGGCTGGTGATTTCAAACTGCTGACCTTGTAGTTAGCAGCCCAGGGGAATAAATACTCTCACTGCCATCGCATCGATGCTGACTCATAGTGACCCCCGTAGGTTTCTGAGACTGTAACTATTTACAGGAGTAGAAAGCCCAGTCTTTCTCTTGCAGAGATGCCAGTGGTTTCGAACTGCTGACCATGTGGATTGCAACCACAACACTACATGGTTAAAATCAGGAAGGGTGTGTGCCAGGGTTGCATCCTTTCACCATACTTCTTCAGTCTATATGCGAAGCATATATTCCAAGAAGAAAGACTATGAAGAAGAAGATGCTGGAGGAAGAGTCATTAACAATCTGAGACATGAAAAATGCACCATTTTGCTTGCTCTCGAAAGTAAAAAGGACTTGAAGCACTTGCTGATGATGTTTAAAGAATACAGCCTTCAGTAAGGATTACACCTCAAAAACATTCACTACTAGATCAATAAGCAACATCCTAATAAATGGAGAAAAGATTGAAATTATGAAGAATTTAATTTTACTTGGCTTGACAATCAATGCGCCCGGAAGGAACAGTCACAAAATCAAATGACATGTATTGGACAAATCTGCTGCAAGAGACCTCTTTGAAGTTTAAAAAAAAAGTCACTTTGAGAAATAAGGTACCCTTTATCCAAGCCTTGGTATTTTTAATGGCCTCATATGTATGCGGAAATTAGATAATGAGTATAGAAGAGCAAGGAAGAATGAATGTGCTTGAATCGGAGTGTCAGCAAAGAACATTCAATGTCTCCTGGACTGGCCGGGGAACCAACAGACCTCTATCGAAATAAGAACAGGCAGAATGTTCCGTAGGACGGAGGGAGAGACTTCATCTCAGGTACGCTGGTCCTGCTGTCAGGAGAGACCAGTCCTTAGAGAAGGGCATCACGCCTGGAAAAGCAGAGGGCCTGTAGAGAAAGAGTCAGACCTTCAATGAGATGGGCTGCTGCAGTGGGCCGCAGCATGGCGGCAATTTCAAGGACGGTGCAGGTGCAGGTGCAGGGCAGGATCAGCCAGTGTTTCTTTGTGTCCTACCGAGGGGAGCTGTGAGTCGGTACCAACTCCACCTAACGACAGTTTCCTTTGGAATATGACTTAGAGACACGGCCATTTCACGATTGTGGGTCAGGACTGTGGTTCAGGAGCCATGAGTATTCACATTGTCTTAGCTGCGGTATGTGGAAAAGTAAACTTCTAATGAGTACTTTATAGCATATTGAATACTGTAGAGAATGGGCCCCATATAGACAGAGGGGGAAAAAAACTGTTCTTTTTATGGGTCTTTTTTTTTTTTTTAAAGGCTGGATTACAGCGGACCTTCCAGAGAATTTTTCTTCCTGGTATCCAGAGAACTTTTTAACCCTTACTATGGCTTATTTGAATATTCAGCCAATGACACATACACAGTACAAATCAGCCCCATGTCTGCTTTTGTGGACAATCATCATGAGTGGTAAGTTGGCTTTGTTTCACTTGATTTGCTAGGATACTAATTTTTAGGTGAATCCGTGTTGAAAATGGTTTTGTTCTTGGGCAAAAACGTATTTCAGTTAAATACCTCCGTTGAGTCTTGCCTTTGCTTTCAAATTGCAATGCGCAGGCATCTCTAAACTGGTCATAGATTTTGTCCCAGAAGGTCAAGTTTATGAGAAGTGGGATGAAAAAAGTTCTTCCAGGACAAACAGAGCTGCGGATGATGTTGGGCTGCCAACGAGGTTCTTGAATCGTCAGCACGTCTGGGCATCTGTGAAGTGGGCTGGGGTGGGCTTCATAGAGGAAGGTTGTGGCGGGGAAGCCAAACAGCTTTGTACAGGAGTCCTGGAAGAAGGAGCTAACACTCGGGGGCGCAGAGCAGAGAACAGCTGGGTGAAGTGCGGCTGTAGCAGCCCGTGGTGATACCCTATAGCAGACGGGGCATGGGCGAGGGGTCTGGGCGTCCCTCGCTGTAATTAGAGAGTGTCTCTTCTCTACTTTCTCCTATCAATTATCAAGAAAAACTGATACTGGAATCCTACCTGGGATTATTGCTTCTGAAAATCCCAAAACATATTCTTTCAAAAAGCCCTTAATTCCCCTCCCCCCTCTAAAACTCTACATTTATAGACTTTGGCTACTTCCTATAATCCCTAATGATTTATTCCTATTTATAGCCACTGATAGTAACCAAAGAGCAGGACTCATGGAAAATTCCTCCTGGAGCCACGATTTAGCCATGAAGTTACTGTTGGTGGGTGGAGGGTGTTAACTTTGAGGACCCATTCTTCAAATTAAGTTCCAGTTCGCTGCTGCGCCTTCAGCGGCAAGTGGCTGCCCCAGACACAATGACAGCCCGACGGTGTGGCCCCCTCCGTGTGGAGTGTACACTTTTGGAAGGCATCAGACTTCCAAGTAGCTAGGAATTTAATACTTTTGAACGAGCAAGGAAGTGTACATTTCAGTCAGCAAATCCAGTCATAACAGATAGACGTAATAAAGTTTCCAGAGTGATTCAGAACTGAATCGAGCCATGACGTTTTAGAGAACAGAATGTCCCATGAGAAAACTTCCCCAAATATCCACGTGCATAATTTTGAGATGGTGACAGTGACCATCAGGAGGGTGATTTGAGACAGAAGAGGGTTAGGATCTGAGATTGGGCTTTTCCTCAAAAGGGAAATGCTACTGAACCTGCATTTGGGAACCCCTTCCATAGCTCTGCAAGCAAGCCAGAAGGGGAAGGGCGTGCTCGTCATTAGCGCAGGCTCATTTGTTCAACAGCTCCTGGAAGTGCCTTGGGGAATTGCACCATAACGCTTAAGGGAGGGCAGGTGGGCAACCGAGGGTACTACGTGGTGGCCGTTATTGACACAGGGCGAAACTAGAGCCTGGTTTCTCTCAAGCTCAGAGAGAAATATTTCTCTGTGAAGTAGATATGGATGGTTGGCCTAGCAAAGGTACCCTGAGGTACACACAAATGCTCATGGACCTCTGAGGCAAGAATCCTGGACAAACAGATGCTGAGTGCTGGAAGCCGTGTCAGAAGCATCTCGGAGCCCCTAGAAATGGCTCCACGCATGACTGTGGTCTCATCCCTTCCCTTCGCAGGTTCCGGTTCAGCGGTCGGATCCTTGGTCTGGCGCTGATCCACCAGTATTTGCTGGATGCCTTCTTCACACGGCCGTTTTATAAGGCGCTGCTCAGGATGTAAGAGTATTTTTATTGCTGGCATAATTAGCATGCAAAAACACAGTATTTCTTTTCTGGGAAAAAAATGTCTTTTGTCAGAGCCATTGCTTATCTGTCCACTATCTCAAATCTGTTATTCAACTTAGTAGTGGTTTGCATTTCTGAAATGACTGAGTTCAAATGTTTTCTGTGTTTTTCCTGCTTGTGACCCTCTCTTCCGATCTGGCTCCTGAAAGTCTCCAAATAACTTATCCTCATTTGTTGCAACACATGCTTTTTTTTCAGACCAATTACTCTTCAAATACAGCATTGAAATTCTTGTGGGATTAATGCCGATTATTAATGAAATAGCTGTGGGTTAGGTTGGGTGACTCACAGCCCCATGCTCTTTATTAGAGGGGTGTTATATTTTGCTTTATGGAAACTTTCAACTGCTTACTCTTGATTCAGTCTCCATTCTCTTTGTTTCCACTCTTGTTTTATCTGGTTTTGTTTGTTAGGAGAGGGCTGTGTCCATGGGCCTTTCAATGAATTGTTATCACAGTGAAAGATTGTGATCTTTGTAAAGTGTGAGGCAAACCATTGCTGTATTATAATCAGTGAGCAGAAGAAAGCAACTAGATATCTGTTGGGCAGTAGCTCAAATCTGCAGTGAGAAAGCACAGAGTATTGCTTGGTTCTGTCCAACCTATATTCCCCAGCCTAGGCCAAGTACCTCATGCCCACGTATCTTCAGCAAAATGGAAGCCTAAACCTCCAGTGTAGGAGTGTTAAGCAAACAAACCATTGTCCTGGGTCTGGTTACATTTGCCTTCTGCCCTTCAGTGTTGGTGCACCTGAAGCACTGGGCAACAAAGGTCATTTCAGGCCTCGCTGGTGCCCGGTGGGATACTTTTCTTCTTTTCACGCATTACTTTTCTCTCATCTTCTAAGTTAAGCTTCCTAGAAAAGCAATACATAGTCGCTATCTGTGTACTTCCCAAATCAAATGTATCCCCTCTCAACCCACTGTAGGAGCCCTGGTTGCATAGTGGTTACACATTGGGCTACTAGCTGCAAAGTCAGCAGTTCGGAACCACCAATAAGCAGCTCCGTTAAGATGAGGCTTTCTGTTTCCATAAAGAGCTACCATCTCGGAAACCCACAGGGGCAGTTCTACCCTGTCCTTTAAGGTAGCCAGGAGTCCGCATCGACTTGATGGCAATGAGAATTTTTTAGTTCAACACACTGTAGCCTACCTTTCTTCCCACACGTAACCAAAGGATGTTTTGAAAGAATATGGCCCTTATCTCTGAGGGTCTTTTAGAAACCAGTCTGCTGATTTGGGTCTTTTTGATCATCCGCACCCTGCCACCATACTCTCCCCAGGACATCTGTTATTCTTCTCTCTCCTTTGTGACTTTCTCCTCAGCGTCAACTTTAAACCTTGGTGTTCCTGAAGCGTCCATTCCTGGGGCTCTGCCATTCTCTCCGTACTTGCTGGTCTCGGAACATCTCCTCACCCTGTTGCATCTCCCATGATTCACAAGTCTATCCCACCAGCCCTCATCTCGCTTCCATTGCACATTCCACTGGTCAGCAGTCCACTTAATAGCGCCATCTGGATGTCCATTATAGCTATAGGTATTCTATGGCTTGCTGTTTATAAAACCACAGGAAAAAACAATAGCTAGGAAGGAGAAAGTGAACAGTTTGTGATATTTATCACAGAATCCAGTCTTTAGAAAAAAATTATAGTATTGAAAAAAAGAAGAACCCATTGCCATCAAGTCAATTCTGACTCAGTGATCCTATATAGGGAATATTCCTTTATTCTTATATCAGGAATATTGTTACGGGGTAGATAACCTCATCTTTCTCCCTATGTGCAGCTGGCAGGTTTGAACGGTCAACCTTACAGTTAGCAGTACAGTGCTTATGTGATGGCACCACCAGGGCTTCTAAAGCACAGTATAAAACATACATAATTTCAAATTAGGAGAAGAGTATTTAAGATAGTATGTGCCTGTAAAACAGGTAGGGTCTTGGAAACCCACAGGCGGTTGCTGTAGGTCAACAGTGGCTCAATGGCAGTGAGTTTGTTTTTCAGTTTTTATAATAACCCCAACTTGTTGACTCATCTCCCCATTCCTGCTCTGGCATTAATTTGGGGTAACCATACAAATGGCTCCTGTTCTCTGAACCTCCACTTCTGTGACTGTAAAAGAAGGGGCTGAGAGTGATTCCTAAGACATCTTATCTAGTCGGGATTTTCTAATGAGGCATATGCCAAGCTTCCGAATGATTTCACTAGTTTGATTATCGATCTCCACTAGACAGATTCCAGGAAGCTGTGCCTGTTAAGTGAATCAGAAACGTGACTGTAAATCGTACGTTCTTCTCTCGTGACTCTTGAGTAGTCAGGCCTGCATATCTGCTTCTGTCTGTCATCGTAGCCTGTGTGACCTGAGTGATCTAGAGTATCTTGATGAAGAGTTCCACCAGAGCCTGCAGTGGATGAAGGACAATGACATCCACGACATCCTGGACCTCACGTTCACTGTGAATGAAGAAGTTTTTGGGCAGGTCTGTGATTGGGTACTTCAATGGCTGAGTGTGCTAATTGAATGCTATTGGTTGGGAAATAATTTAATTAAGGGCTAAGACCCAGACACTCATCTGTGACCTGGTTGGTGATTTAGACCCAAGTTCACATGCAGTTGTAATAATAGTCATTGTAATCATTAATATAAGCTGCAGGATAAGATGTTCTAACTTATGACCTTTTTTTGAGTGTTATAATCGATACTATTTTTATTTCCAGTTAAGATCAGAATAGAGATCAGGATGTGCCTTGTGTAGAATAAAGGTTTTAAATGAAAGGAACTGAATGAAATAGGTTGTGTTGAATTGGAGGACAAGTAATGACACGTTGTTGAAGGTTTAAAAGCAGGTGTGTGAAAGCTTTGTTCTATTCGACGTTAGTAGAAGAGTATATTTTTAAAACTACCTGCAGAAATAATATACTAGGCTATAAGAAAGATTCTTAATTAGACATAATTGTTTGGCTGGTCTGAATCTCATGCATTTTCAAAAATAATGTCTCAATTTAACATTCACTTGAACCCAATTCTGCTTCCTTAAAATCCCTCTTAAATATTGGCCTTCTGTAGATAGCCTAGTCCAAGTTTTTGAATTGGGAGTTTTTGAAAATGTGTTTTTCTCAAGCATTCAAAAAATGGGGAACCAGTTCCTGGAGCCAGTCCATCTTTATTTAAAAGACTTGAGCTTCTTAGTCGGGACTCAAGCTTACCATTCAGTTCTTGCGATGCATTTTTCTTTTTCAACTATGGAGGCTTTTGCCATTTGCTCACTCCTAGTTTTTATGGAATGTTGCCCAGTGTGTGCTTCAGCACCAGGCCAAATGTGTTCTGTGCCAGGTGGGTGCTCGTGGGACCTGCTGGGGACAGAGATGGGTAGCTGCTTGATTTCTGCTCATTGAAGCAGCCCATTCTTAGAACATCAGGATTACTGCTTCATACTCAGTCCTTTTGTTTTTTAACTGCAGATTACCGAACGGGAACTGAAGCCCGGGGGTGCCAACATCCCAGTCACAGAGAAGAACAAGAAGGAATACATCGAGAGGATGGTGAAGTGGAGGATTGAGAGGGGTGTGGTGCAACAAACAGAGAGCTTAGTGCGTGGCTTCTATGAGGTAAAGAGGACTAGCAGAAGTGGGCTTTTGTAGTCAGATAGCAGTGATGATATCTCTCTCTTACTGTAGCCTATCTCTATGGGATATTTCGATTTTCTCTCTTGCTATATTTGTGGGTGCTAGTTCAATTTTTAAGAACTCTAAGATATTTTCCCTATGTTTCAAGAGGATAAAAAAGCTTCAGTCACTTTACAAGAGATTGTTGAAAAATGTTGAGACTTGATTTCAAATTGGATTCAATGATTTAATGACCACTTATATCATTTAAGTCATGCATTTTACCCGTGCTTCTATACAGGTAATCCAATCCCATGCTTGAGCTGAAATGACGGTGTCTGAGGGCCGAGTGAGTTAGGACATGCGTTCCGCGTGACTTTTTCTCTAAACGTTTCATTATGCACTAGGTGATTAACAGTTCACATACATGAGTTCAACTCCTCCCTTGCAGTCCCCTCAGTGAATCATCACTGGTCCCACTTCTTCCATGTTTTGTTGGGTTTTAATTTTCCTACCTCCTTCCTACTGGCCCACTGCCCTTTTGCCTTTGAGCACATGCGGCACATTTGATTAACATGGTTGCTTCCAACAAGAGGGTGAGTTCTGGTCCAGGCTTGACAGGTGACGAAGGAACAGTCATGGGAACAAAATCTCGGTGACTCTTATGAGTACTAGATCATGTCCAAAAGCGGACCAGGGCCACTTATAAGTCAGAAATCCTGTTGAAGTCCATCTATCGAAGTTATACTAAAATATATTTGGAGAAACTGTTGAATAGGTGTCTGTGCTCCTGTGTGTTCTCAACAGTAAACATAAGTAAAAGTTTAATAAATTACATATACCATCGAGAATTTTTCAGCCTATAAAGTGCCTACTACATAAATTTTTGTGTTCTCGTGTTCTGATCGACTTAATTATAGCAAAGATTTCCCTGAGTTACTGAGCCGCGGCTTCTACGATGTCTGTTCCGCAGGTGGTGGATGCCAGACTGGTGTCTGTCTTCGATGCAAGAGAATTGGAACTGGTCATTGCAGGCACTGCAGAAATCGACTTAAGTGACTGGAGAAACAACACAGAATATAGAGGAGGTGAAATCAGTTTTACAGATGGATTTTTAAGTTCCCAATTAGAGGGAAACAAACGGTTCCGCTTTGCTGCGCTGAACGCAGGGCGAGCAAAGACACGTGCACTCTAATCGTTGGCCTGAGACCCTCTCCTCTGAGACCCTGGGCAAGGACCCTTCCCTTCTCTTCTTTAGAAGTTACCTCAGCTGTCTGGGGGTGGGGGGAGGACTGTTTACACGCCATGGAAGGATGTCCTAACTTTTTAATTGTTGATGAGGAAATGGGTCCTTGGGAGCACTAATTAATTGCTTCATGGTGTTGTGTATAGACCGGCAGGAGCTAATATGCAGCTGCTCAGACCCCACCTATTTCACCTGCATCCGAATACTTAAAGAGACACACCCCTTGCACTTCCTAATGAGCAGCACAGGTTTTCTGTATTTCATTTAACCAGTTGCCAGATGTAGTTCACAGCTGAAACAGGTGAATAGAAAACCACATGAGTCTCAAAATCCAAAATGTTTATTGATGAAGCCTTTCTTTATCCAAGCTTTAAGTTCAGTTGAAGAGAAAACTATTGTTATCTGCCATTTCAGTACAGATCTCTGTAAATCAGTACAACGTTCCCATTAGTTCCCAATGACCAAAGTCACTGAAATCCAATCGTCAAATCAGCCAGCCATCAAATCAGCCATCCGCATGAGATGTTAGATTTTTTATTTGTTTCATTGCTTTTAAGCAAAGACATTTCCCGAGAGCCACTGCAACGTTAGACCATCTTCCCACTGCCGTGACAGAGCCTGTGTTTTGGTTTGGTTCTAATTAAAGGTGTAAGCGGTTAGCCAAATCCTGAACTTGGAGAATGGAAAAAAGACAAATTTTGATTCAATGAATGAGTCACTTACTGAAATAGACTTAGGACCGGAGCCGTTCTCAGTGAAACAGAGAAAGAAAGGAAGGTTTAAGGTTTGGAATAAAAGGTGAGGCTTTCTGTTTCCATGATGATTTATACCCTTGGAAACCCTGCCTTATTGGGAACCTTCTAAGGTCTGCTTCTGTAGAGATGTGCAGACTGGGAAACTGGGGAATTCTGCTCTGCCCCACAGGGTCACAGTGAGGCAGGACATAAGCAACAGCAGCAGTCCCTTGGAGAAGCCCCTGTGTGTCAGAATGGCCTCCGCAGCAGGAGGTTTGGGTGGTGGTTAGGGTTAGGTGCCCTTGAGTCAGTCCACTTTGCTCAGTGGACTCTGTTTGGGTTTCTGATGGGCTCTTCCAGGGTGCCAGTGCTGCTGAAACCTGGCCTTGCTTTCCCATTCTCTCGGGTCCCGTTCCACGCCCTTCGGGTTCCGTCGCATTACAACCCAACAGGGCAGAGTAGAACTCCTCCCGAGTTTCTGAGGCTGGAAATGCTTGCAGAAGAAAGCCTCATCTTGTCCCGCAGAGAAGCTGGGGGACTCCAACGGGAGGTGCTAATGAGTTAGGGCTTTGAACCAGTTCTTCGGGGCTCAGTCATGGTCAATGGAGTGAAACCAGAATGGACTTGGATTTGTAAACTGTGGGTGTACCACTGTGATAAACAGAATGGAAAAAATTACCAGCCCACTCTCTGCTAGAAACATAATCTTAGAAAACAAGGGCAACATGCACATCACATAGCAAAATACTGGTGCCCATTTCATCAAAGACAGCAGCCAGTACACTGCTATGCATTTGTGTTGCCCTGTGCTGTCCTGACAATAATCCAATATCCGATCCACCTCCTGAAAGCGCTCACTGCACCTCTTCCAAGTTTCCCATTCCTGCGCTTCAGCCCATAATTTTTGCTGTTCTGCTGATCATCCCACACACCCACAAAATTAGGCCTGTCCTAATTGTGCTGCATCCACCATGTCCGAACTGGTTCAAACTGGTTTGCAGCCCTGTATTAAATTGCAGTTTCCACTTCTGCTGTCTCTTTAAGTCCGATTGGTGTCATAAGTCATTTCCGATTGACCCAAGTATAGCTTCAGCTAATATAACTTTCTAACCAAATGACTTTTAATAATGACCATTTCCCTCTATATGCTAGAAATTTTACTTTGTTCCAGAAGTATTATAGCTCATTCCTAAGCACAATGCACTGCATCAAATCAGTCATTTTTACGTGTACATTTTCTACCTTTTCATTCATTGTATATTGCTAATCATGTACTGATTTCTAAGTTCATTGTCCATCTTATCAAGCATAATTCTTGGGAGGAGAGTGTTGAATTGGGTGGTGACGGGAAAAGGGTGAGCTACTCAGCTGCCATTGTTGCTGCCCCCGCTGGTTGGCACTGAACGACGAAGCTGCTGTTCGACCACTTGCCGTCTGTACACACAGCAGCTGTCGGTAGAGAATACAGTGAGACGCGTTTGCTTCTCCTCCAAAATGTTTGGCACAAGCAACAGCGCAGAAGAAAAAAGAGGGCTGATTCATAAAGTCCAAAATCTTGAAAGCTGTGAGGCCCGGTGCTCTCAGTGTATAGGCGAGAACAGTATCTGCTCGAAACGAAAAAGCTGGTCTCTGCACAGGTCAGACATGACCCCCTGCATCCGTCCATTGTTCACATGGGTCCCTTTCTTCTCCAAACGGGGCCTCTCCTTCACTGACCAAATGGGAAACAAGTCAAAATTCTTCCAAATTCTGCAACCATTCAGAAATGTGAGGAAAATTTCAGATTAAAATAGTTTGTGCTGCTGCCTCCATCTCTTTTCTAATGATGTCTGCTGTCAAAGAACCAGAGTCGCTTTTGTTATATTGGAGCTTGTCCTTAACTGGTTGGAATCCCTGTTGGCACCTTATTCCTTGTCAGCTTTCTCTCTGAACTTGATTTCAGTTCACTAAAAGGAATCCACAAGCACTGCCCCAATCCAGCCTGTGGGAATTAAATTCCTTTACAGTATGAAATAGAAGTCACGTTTAAGTTGATGATGATTTGCTATATATTAAGTGGAGACATCAGTCTCCACGTTTTTCCTTTTCACTTGTGATCAGTGTGAAAGCAGCGTAATTGTGAAATGTGAACCTGTACACAGCATGTCAAACAGCTGGCCGCCTGTGCCTATGGTGCCATGATCAGATTGGCCCTTGCCTCTCTCACCTGGACTGGACTAGACCGCTGGGAAGGCCTGTTTTCTTGGCCATTGTACCTACAAGCTTTAGTACAGTGCTTGGCACATAGTGGATCTCAAAAATTATGTCTTCTCCTTTTTTTAATAGTTCTATTGGAATGTCATTCACATACAATTTTTAGCAGTTCAAGCATATTAAGAAAAGTTGTGCAGTTCACCACACTCAATTTCATTCTTTCTCGCGCTTGTTGTTAGCTCCCCAGTTATCTGCTCTCTCCCCTGCCATGCCCCTAGGTAATTATTCATCCAGTGATAGATTTACCTGTCCTGGATGTCAGATACAGAAAATCACACAAAACACAAACAACAACAAAAAAACACAGCAACAATGACAAGAAACAACAACAAAACAGAAAAACCCCAACCAAAAAGAAAGAAAAATTTAAAAAACGGAAACAACTTTAAAATGGGTCAAAGGGGAGAACAAATGATGCAGTGTTAACAATTTAACCTAACTACATCATCCATAACATTGACTCTGCAGTGCTCTGTCTGGTAGAAAGGCTGTTCGCATCCCTGGACCATGGTAAGAGGGAATTCACTGGAGGCTTAATACATCTGGGGACTCTGAAAGTGGAGTTTGGGCTTCCACTGTCATCCATAGCTTTCTGCAAACCAAGTGTTCAGAACTGGAGCTCTGATACTATTCTTTTCTCTGAATTTGGATTGTAGTGTTTACAATACTTAGATCACACAGACTGGTCTACTTCTTCCATGTGGACTTAGTTAATGGCTCCTTTAAGAGGCGGCTTGTTTTAAGACAATCCTTTCAGACCCCCAGCTGCTAGTCTCTCTGACAGCCAGGCACCGTCTGATTTCTTCACCACACTTTGCTACAGCACCCATAGCTTCAGTGATCTCGTCATGAGGGCAGGTATCGAGTAAGGCCATGTCATAAGAACTAACTGCTTTCACATTGGGACTAGAATTAAGCCTCAAATCCGTTCTTGTATTTGTGGTTTATATGTGTCTCTGGTTCACTTTAGAGACATCAGTATCATTTTATGATAGAAAACACCATAAATCACCCTCCGGAGACATACAGTAATTCTGTTGATAGTGCTATTGACTTAGCCAATGATATAAAATCTAAAACACTGTGTTCTTCTCTCAACAGTGTTTTAAAAATGATTTCTTAAATAAATAACAGCACACGGGTGAAGCATTTTCAGTAACAGTAATTACGTTGTTCAGAATTGATGGGGTTTTAAAGAGAATCATTTGTTGTTCTCGCCACTAGTTTAACTTCGTGGCCACTAAATGAAAACAGACTTCTTGGTTTCATTTAGTGGATTCAGATTTCCTTTTTTTTTGCTTCACTTTTGGCACTCATATGGTCACATTTACAGAATTATTCTTTAATCTTAAAATACAGACAATCTTTAAAGAATCCAAGATAATGATTTATGTGTGGAGGTCATTTGTCATGTTTACCTGGACAAATATGGAAGGCTAAATATGAAAGAGTTAAAGTAATATGATCTTTTGTGATTGATTTACTAGGATACCATGACAATCATATTGTAATTCGGTGGTTCTGGGCTGCAGTGGAAAGATTCAACAATGAACAACGACTAAGGTTGTTACAGGTAGGATGTCATTGGCTAACGTTTTTTTCTTGCATCGATACAATTATTGTTGAATTGCATTTTAAAATAATTGTTATGTCTACTCGATACATGCAGACCATGTTGACCTGGATGTATATAACCTACCATCTGTTCTAACTGCATTTGTGACTCCATCACCGTGCAGAATCTCCCCAGCCAAGTGAACGAATTTGATAGAGTTGTAAGAACCACAGGAGTGACATCTGCCTTCAGGGCAGCTTGGCCCCTTCGGCTAAAAACCCCAGAGTGCTCTGCAGGCCAGGCCCTGCCCCCCTTCCCCTCCCCACTTAGCAGAAAGAGAGGATCTTCATTCCTTCAAGACGTGGCCTCAATCTGTGATAAACTGCCCTTTCTTTTATGTCTCCCCACAATTTTCAGGGAACAGTGAAGTTCAATGAAAATGTCAGGGGAAAGAAATCATTATTGCCTGTTGGTGTTTACAATTGCCCACGTCATTGTGGAAGAAATGCCCAGCTGTGGCAAGCCCTGGGCATTCGCAGTCGGAGTATGACGAGTGGCCTGGGCTTTGGCTCTTTAGGATGGGCTCTGGCCCTCCAATTTGCAAGTCCAGAAGCGATTTTATTGGCCTTTAGTTGATCAGCGACTGATACTTCTTAAGTAATCACTGCTGTCAGTATGATTCTGAATCACAGAGACCCCATAGAGGGTTTCATAGACTATAAATCTTTATAGAAGAGCCTCCTTTGTCTCCTGAAAAGTAGCTGATGGGTTGGAACTGCCAGTCCTGCAGTTGGCAGCACAAGACCCAACCCCGAGTGCCACCAGCGCTCCTTGCTTCTTAGAGTCTGGGATTAGCTGATGCAGTCAATTGGTTCGTCTGTAATGGGGTACGGGACTGGCTTAAAGTTCTGAGGTGGTCAGCTACACAGTACTTGCTCTTCTATTACCTCTTCCCCTTCCCCTTTCCCTGGAGAACGCACTACCCATGCTTAGTGTTCTTCTCTGTTTGCTGCTTGCCACGGTCCGTCTGTCCTGGCTGTAACGTTTCACCTCCCACCCTTCTCCCTCGGGGAGCGGTGCCCTGCTCTAGCGCAGCCAGCGTAGGGCACCTGGTGGGGTGCTGGCCTCTGACCGGGCCTTTTCTGTTTTCTTGGCTTGATAGTTTGTCACGGGCACATCCAGCATTCCCTACGAAGGATTTGCTTCTCTCCGAGGGAGCAACGGCCCAAGAAGGTTCTGTGTGGAGAAATGGGGGAAAATCACCGCGCTTCCCAGGTAAAAAAGAAGAAACACTATCTATTTACGGTTCATGACAGTGCTGTTCTAGGGCAGAGCCCATGTCTATACGAGAGGGCTTCAAAGAATTCCTGGGACAAGCCCATTACCTTTTCATTCCATTTTCCTCTACCTGTTTGAAGTCCCCCTCGCATATTCTTATTGTTTTATGCTGAAAGTTCTGGAGGGAAAGAAACTCTTTTAAAATGACTTTATCTCTGATTTAAATTTTTTTTTCTTAAAAAAATGTGATGAAACATTCCCCCTGGCCACATTTGTTATTGTCTCTCTATTCCAAATGTATCTCCAAACACACACTGCGTTTGCAAAGCCCTTCGTTCCTCATACTCATAATGTCTCTGATTGGTTGTTTCCCAAAAGTTCTCATTTTGACTCGATATTAATAGGGATTTAGAAGGTCTACACTAAAATTTGCCGTTGCGATTTCTAAAGAACACGCCATCACATGAATGTGCTTTTTCTGTCTGAATCTTACATGTCTTATCCCTATGTTAATCTCTCTGCGTTTTATTCTTACGCATGATCAGATCATGCGTTTCCTTGGAATAGAAAAACAAACCACATTAGTGCTGTTACTAATAATTGTGAGATACCGGTAAGCCAGTCTGAGAGGACTTCAAAGTTTCATAGAAAAATAGAGCTAGAAGTTCATGACATTGTTCCCAGGAACTTTTTTTTTTTTTTGGCGTCCCTGGGTGGGCATGAACCCAGGAACTTTTTAAATCCCCACCATATGCATGAAGAGACGCGCCGACGGCTGACTGGAGACCATGGGAGCTGGAGCAAAAGGAAAGGCAGGAGCAAAGGACCAGCAGTGAAACATGGGATTTTGTAGATAAAAGGGGGCCTCTGAGTAGAGGAGCCCTAGTGGTGTAGTGGTTACACTTGGGGCTGGTAACCACAAGGTCAGCAGGTTGAAACCACCAGCATGCAACAGGAGAAAGGGGCTTTCTACTCCAGGCAAGGGACCACAGGCTGCTCTCATCTTGTGATGCAGATGCAATCTGGGCAAGTTCGTGATCTGCCCGTGAACAGCAGATACCGCCAAGGTATCATCCGAAATTTAAGTCCAACTGTAACCCAGTCTTCTGAACATTTGAAAGAGGTCAATTCTGCAGGTCTTGTTCTTCCCGTCAGGATATGACAGGGGAATCAGGGACTGAGGCTGTAAACACAGACGGCAGAGTCGGTGCCAGCTCAGGGGCTAGCCTGAACCTCTTCAACATTTATCACAAACTGTGACAGGAGGCTCTCCCTCCCCTCACCAAAGGCGTCCCTGGTGACTCTCATTTCATGATCTGATAAATCTGTTTATTTATTTACTGCACTTACTTGTTATTTTATACATGGCTGTTTGCATCTCCAAAACGGATTTTGATTAAATAAGGCCTTTCACCTCCTAGAGGGAACCTCTCCAGGATTAGCATTGAGATCGTAAGTATTAGCAGGCGAACGGCGTCACCTGCTTTGGATCATGTTTCTGTAGCGTCACTTTTGGAATACACTGTAACAATACCCACCCATGCCGGCTGCCCCTGTCTCGTTGCTGCCGTTTTCACCAAGTGTGCTGAGCAGGGAGAGACAACTGTGGACGACAGTGCACTGGCTGCACAGAGACTTGGACTCAAGCCCAGCTCTGCTGCAGTGGGGCCTTGAAGACGTTGTGTCATTTCTTTGAGCTTCTGTTTCCTCATCTGCTGTGTAGATTTTTTTTTTCTGGGGATTATATGAAAACATTCCATTGCAAAACACTCCAACCCGACCTCAAGTGAGGCTCTAGTAAGTGATGCCTGCTATTCTGACTTCTAGCTCTGTCATCTGTCCTACGTGTTAGACCGGCAGCAGGGCGCTACCAGGAGCACAGAGTGGGAGCTCAAAGACCAGTGTTTGAATTCTTCCACCAGCCAACTCGGTGACCGTGGAGGTCGCTTGACCTCTGGGCCTCAGTTTCTTCATCTGCAAATGCCCTGGGGGATCAGGGGTACATTACGGTTGCTTGAGCGGGAAGCAATGCTGGCAGGATAATGAAGTACCTTGGGGTGGGGGTCAAACTCAACTCTCACTTACACTTCCGCCTGGGAGCTCTAAGAAGTGTGGACTCATTGCCAATGGTGGTTTTCTTCAGTGTCCTTGCACATACGCGGTTGGGTAACAGGCATTGCCGTTTCTTCTTCTCTTGGTTGCGACCTGGATGGCTGGTTTTACCCAAACTATAACATAAACTAGCACAAAATAAATACAGGATGCATCATACAAGTAAGCCTCTTTTCATACCCTTGTTCCAACATCCCCCACTTTTCGGGTTGATGAGAAGCAAAAGACATTTGACGGTCCCACCTCTGGTTGCAGCCAAGTTGCACAACCTGTCTAGGAGATAGGGGTGCAGCTCGAAGACCTCTGACACACTTGTTATATGATGTAAATGAGACCTCAGCTGCATCTCCATACTGCAGGAATAACAACGTCATGCTCCAAAGGTATTGAGACACCTGAGTGCAGTGATGTATATGAAAGTCCTGGATTTTTGTGGTGGTGGTTCTTTTATACCTTTATCTGAATTCTTCTTGAAGTTACTGTATGATTATAACTATTAAAACACGCTCCCTAGAGTAGTCCATTTGAGAAAAATAAGATAATCTGTTCTAATGCATTGTATCATTTTATCACGAACAAGAGATTTCTTTTTTTTTAGTTTTAGTAGCACTTCAGCCACATATCAATCATATCTAGAAGAGTTGTACAACCGTTACCAAATCAATTTTAGAACACTTTCTTCTACCATGCACTCATTGTATTCATGAAATTATTTTTTTAATTGTAGCAAAAATGTATGGAACAAAGCGTCCAACTTCTGCACGTATAATTCAGTGCCACTGATTGTAGTCTTCGTGTTGTACAACCACTCTTGATCTCCTTTTCTAAAGTCTTCCACCACCAGTAACAGAAACTCAATGCCCCCTAAGAAAAAACACTTCCTCCTTCACCCAGGGTAACCATTGGTCAAGTGTAGGTGGTTTTTTGTTTTGTTTTATGTTTTCAGTAGTTTGCTTAATATAATATTCACAGATCATACAGCTCCAGAGTTGAATCACTTTGGAAAAAGAGTTCTATATACATCATCACAATCAGTTCGAGAGCCTCCCCACTCCTGCATTCATCGTTTGCCTCCCAGTTCCCTTCACCCTCCCTTTTCCTGCATTCCCGAGAACCCACTGCATGAGTTATTCCTCTGCGCATCCACTCCTTCTGTGCTGCTTAAATTGGGACACTCTACAGACACAATAGAAATTAAAGATGAAATGAATCAGAAGGAAGAAAATACTACTAATACAAAGATAAAAATTAAAAGTAAGAAAGAAAAGACCACCAAAGATACTTTTAAAGCCAGAGAAGGAATGTCTGTCATGGCACAATCGAGAACTATTTGAGCCTAGAGCCAATTCAGGTTGGGTCATGAGGGAGGTCAGCTGACCAAGTAGGATATTATACTTCGGTTTGCTCCACTGTAATCATGTTCTCAATCATCTCTGTATGATAGTAAAGCCGTTTGAGTCCCTCACCTGTGGCTAGAGTGGATCCTCCAGGGGATTGATCTGACTAGCTACTCTGCAGTTGGATTTTGGGCTCCACTGCCCTCCATAGCCTTCTACAAATTGGTTGTTCACAACTTGAGCTCTGATACTTCTCCCTTCATATTTGGTTTTTGTTAGCATCTTTGGATCACACAGGCTGGTGTGCTTCTTTATGGGCTTGATGCCTCACTTTAGATGGCTGCCTGCTTGAATACAAGCCTTTAAGACCCCAGACACCATTCCAATTGGTAGCCTGGCCCTATCTGACAAACAAGCGATTTCTTCACTAACAATTTTGCCATCATCATCTTCTTAGGAGTTGTAAAGTATTACCTAGGTATGGGCAAGAATTGCGAGACAGGCTCTAGTTTAAAGAGGTTTCTTCTTGAATGATCAAGGCCATTTCTTCTGCTGTCATAACTGATAAACTGAAGTTGTCTCCCTGCTGTTTCCTTGCAGGTATGAGGGGGTACAAAAAATTTTTAAAAAGCTACACTGGGCAGAACTTTTGTAGTATGCATTTTCCTCACTAAGCTAGCATTAAGCAACCTGCTCTGAGTTAGTGCACCCAGTAGCATCGCCTGGGAAGGTTCTCTCTGGTTACAGTCAGTTTTTTCATAAAATAGTTTTGCTCAAACCTCATTTTTAGTGATGGATGGCCAATTTAAGAGAACATCATGCGGCTGTGAAATTTTATTTCCTGCTCAGGAAAAGTGCCGCAGAAACCGTTGTGATGTTGAACACAACTTACAAGGACAGTGCTATGGGAAAAACTCAAGTGTATATGAGTGGTTTTTTCTTTTCAAATGTTAAATTCCGATTGATGACCAACCTCATTCTGGATGTCCATCTACTTCCTGAATTGACGAACATGCCAACAAAATCCATCCATTTGTGCTCAAAGACCAACGTGGACCATTGAAGAGATGGGGAAGTTATCTGAGCTATATCTCGGTTCAGTGAATTTTAATGGAAGATTTGGGAATGAGAAGGGCCGCCTCGGGTTCTGACTGATCAGGAAAAAGAGCACCGATTGGAAACATGCCTGCTTTGAAAGAACATCTCCAAAGCGACACACTTTTTTTCTAAGGTCATTACTGGTGATGAGACTTGGTGCTATTCTTACAACCCTGAAAGCAGACATCAATCAAACCAGGTGCCATCATCAGCTTGCCCCCCCAAAAGCTTGTTAAGTAAAATCAAAGATCAAGATGATGCTCATTTGTTTTTTGATGTGAGGGGGATAGTGCATTTGCAGTTTGTTCCACCAGGTCAGACTGTTAATCAAGCTTTCTATTTAGAGGTTCCAGAAAGATAGTGTAACATGTGTGACAAATAAGGTCTGATTTGTGGCAGATGGAGGATTGGTTTTGCCACCACGACAATGCACCTACTCACCCCACCATT